ATCAGTAAGGACTCTTCTGCTAATGTTTTGATGATCCGCAGCAAAGTGCCCAAGGTATTCTGTGCTGGCGCGGATTTGAAGGTAGGAGTTTAATTATGTTTTTCATCGAATCAATGTTGTGTTTCGAATGAAATTTATATTGGATGTGCAAAGAACTCTTCAAATTTAATTTCTCTTAGTTATGCTTGTAACTCTTTTCTGTTAATTTTTTTTCCCTCTTTGATTTACTTAAGTTGTATTGAACTGTGGTCATATACACAGGAGAAGATAGTGCTCACTAGTCAAATTGTCCTTCCGTTTTAATTGATTTACAGGAACGCAAAATGATGAGTTCATCTGAAGTTCGAGATTTTGTCAATACGCTGCGTGCCACATTCTCGTTTTTAGAGGTTACCTTTTCTACAATTGCTTTGTATTAAAATCTCTTTGAGGATGATAATAATTGGAACATCTTTTGGAGTTGAGTAGTTGGTTTTGACATAGCTGGTACTTGGTATGCTCACCTGTCCCAGAGGGTAGCAGGTTTTCCTTCAATTTGCATTTTGGAGGTCGGAGAGCAGAGTTATAATTAAATCTGCCCAATAAGATTTTCAAGGTTTCTTGTTGGTTTTTGTGTAGTCAAATTGAATGCACAATGTGCTATTATAAAATGTGGAATTTGCACTGATCTGGTGTTGAAATCATGATAGTGAGCTTCTGATGATGAGATATGCTCATTCTTATGCCGAAAATGTTTCCGATTCTGTACAACACTCCAAAAATGCATTTGTTTTGGTATCATACGTACTATAATGGTGAACATCTAATATGCATACATGAGTGTTGTATAATGGTGGACATGTAATATTAACACTGTGCACATAGATAAAAATACATAGATACTCGTCCAGGATATGTTGAGACTCCATTATATGTACTAATTTTACTCTATCATGCTGTTGGTGTCTAGTGTGGTATGTTCACTTCCATAAAAAGTCCTGGTTCCATTTTTCTGTTTGACACTTACCTGACATGCTTAAATTAATACAATTAGGTACTTTGTATTCCTACTATTGCTGTTATTGAAGGAGCAGCATTGGGCGGTGGACTTGAAATGGCTTTATCATGCGATCTCCGGATATGTGGTAATTCCATTTTATACTGATCGCATTTGTGCTCATTGAAATATCAAGCTACTTAAATGCTTTATAATGCTTAGTCTGTGGTTTTTTCCCCCACCATATATGGCTTAGGAGAAGAAGCAGTGATGGGCTTGCCAGAAACAGGACTTGCTATAATTCCGGGGTATGTGCTAAATCTCAGTAATGAGTTCAAACTCCTCAAAGGACTGCAGATCACCTGCATCTTGTTTGACGAACCCAACCTCCTTTTTCGTTTCAACTTCTTATAAGAGAGTTTATAAGCAGACACTTGCTTATCCCATATAACAGATGGGAGGCTATTAATTCCCAGTCAAACTATTGATATCGTTTACCTTTCTGGAAAAATTTCTTTCCACACAATTACTTCTTATTTTACTGTTTTTTTTTTTTTTTCAATTGTTTTTCTCTTCTTTCCCTTCTTTGTAATTATTCATGAAGTAACAGATCAACCTCTCTTGATTACGTCCATTCACAGGGCAGGTGGAACACAGCGACTTCCTAGAATTGTGGGAAAAGCATTAGCAAAGGAACTCATATTCACTGGCAGGAAGATTGGTGGCAGAGAAGCAATGTCGATTGGTATGTCTACTCCAAAGCTTTGATTTGGTCTTTCCTATTGTTTTTCTTTCTTATTTCTTTTGACACGAGATTGTACCTTACTGCAGGTCTGGTAAATTACTGTGTTCCTGCTGGTGAAGCTCATCTAAAGGCACTTGAAATTGCTCGCAATATAAATGAGAAAGTATGAAATTATTTGATCCACTAGAGCTTCACTGAGATTTTATTTTATTTCACTTTTCTATTTTCTAGTTGATGGGGGAAGGTTACTTGTAGTTGAGAGCAATCTAAAACTGAAATCTACACTCTAAAATCTCTATCAAAGTGGATGTCTATAGCTGAAACTTATTTATCATGTGAAAACTGAACAATTGCCTCTTTCGTTTTAATGACCAAATTATAATACGTGCATGGAAAAGAAAAATCCTGACTGTAGAAACTAAGATCAACTTGAAATTGTCATATTTGGCAAAGAAAGAAAAAATTTATAAGTAATGGTTGCAATCAAATTTATGAAATATAGTTTTAGCAGGGTCCCATAGCAGTAAGGATGGCAAAAAAAGCTATTGACGAGGGCCTGGAGGTACATAAGACCTCAGCTTTGGCACTAGAAGAAGAATGCTATGAACAAACCTTGAGCACAAATGATCGCTTGGAAGCCCTAGCAGCATTTGCTGAGAAGCGCAAGCCAAGGTATACTGGAGATTAAGATGATAAAATTGCAATAAATCTGTCTTGGATGAGTTTATTTGTGTTATGAAAATAAAGTTACTTGTCAGCAATGAGAAAAGGACTGGTTCATAGAGGCCCTAATTTTATTATGATCATAATCTACCATTATCTCTATATATGAATGAATTTAGAGGTCGATGAAATGTTTTTCATGGGTTTATGAGAAATTACTTGTATTCAGAATTATCGAACATGTTTATTAATGAGTCAATTAAATTCACTCTTCAAGTCCTTTCTTTTTTACATTCGATGACAAAGTGGTGAATCTCTTCACTGAAACTGTTCACAATGACAGAGGGTGGTTGTTTTCGATGCGAAAAGTTTGTGCTAGAATTCGACCCCTTTAAGTTTAAGCTTACTGGGGTTTCATGCTTGAAATCAATGGCAAAACTCATTTTAACCATCTAAGACCCAACATTTCGTCGCATAAGACCTACAGCGACATATTGCTGCATCATATTCACATGGAAGAGAGCATGTATGGCAACAAAAAGTTTTGTTGCAAAAGGTTTTGTTGCAAATTTTTTTATGCGATAAAAGTTAAGGATGTAACAACCTAAGGTCTCATCTAAAAGTGCTTGTTGAAGTTGACTTTTGGACTCTACTACACCTTAGGTAAGGCCACATGATCCTCCCCAACGATTTACCATCGAGCATGGATGGTGGCGCCTCTTCCCTCATCGTTAAGGAACTGTCATGATAGCCATGGCCCATGAGTCCCACATAGGCAATGTGCTCTGATACCATTTGTAACGACTCAAGCGTCATCCAAAAGTGCTAGCTGAAGGTCACTTTTGGATTCCTAGACCTTACTTAGGTACCCAGGCTCTCCCCAGTGCTTTATCGATATGGGATTCAGGGTATCACAATGGGGAACTTAGATTCTGTTGTACAACTAATATGGTGACACCCTCATTCAGTCCAAGGGATGAAAGCATCCCTACAAACTTGTCCCAAGACTTAGGCAATCGTCGTCTTTGTTAGAAGTGGAAGTTCGGAGTTGAAAATGACTTTTACGACGACAATGCTTCTTCACAAAAATATGATTTTTCTTGTGCTGTTGCAAAAGCTTTTGCTATTATTTTGTACAAACATTTCATACACTAGTCGACTGATAATTACTCTAGTAGGATCACTGGTAGTAGAAATTAGGTCTAACGTAGTATAGCACTAACATCATTCCCCAGAATAGGTTACAATTGTTGAAAAAACGATGTCGACGTCTCATCTGGTCCCAGAGCTTTTATAGAATGTATGACCAGTGCATCTTCTATTATCTAATCACTCTCTTATCAAATTAAATACAGTACTTAAAAAGATAAATTTTACATTGAAGGAAACTGAATAAATTCTGAATTGATAAACCTAATTTGTTAGTTTATGCCTACATATAAATAATTGCGACTTTTTTTTTAATTATAAATGTTCGTGTATTCAATTGGCAAGTAGCTTTATGTTAATCCTCTCACTCACAACATTACTGAAGGAGCCAACAAAAATGGTTTTTGGTATGCCAGATTGACAAAGATTGTCTAATTGATGGCATTTTCTATTGAAACGAAAAGAAAAAAGAAAGCAGAGTTGGCTAGAAAATTCAGAGTATTAGATTTTTAAAAATGAAAAAACTAAAACTTAGAGGGTTTTCTAATCTAAACCTCCCCTCCCCAAAAAAATAAAATTGGTGTTTGCATTTTTTTGTTATGATGGACAAAGCATGACTGTAATTGAAAGACATGTTTGCTCGTCAATGCAGACGCCATTACAGATTCTGTATACCTTTTTACAATGAGGTTTATAGAAGAATTTCCTGCTGCAAGAATATGTTTTGCACCATCCTTTTTGTTGTCATAGTTAAGGATCACAATTTGGAACTCGTGTATACTATAATCCATGCCAAAATCGTATATCCTTGGATGAGTTCAAAATACAAAATTGATTTATCTGTATATAGCTCAAATTTCCTTATTTAGCTTTGGTATGTGTTATACTATTAAATAGCAACAACATAGCCACTTGTTAAATAGACTTCAGCCTTGCATATTTCACCATATCAGTTTTTCTCTGCTGTCAACATTGTCTTCAGTTTGTGAACACCTCTCTCTCTCTCTCTCTCCTTCTTCCCCCTTCCCCCCGAGTTAATGGAGGCAGAGTTTGTATCTGAGTCAAGGGTGGACATAGTGTTACAAAGAGGTCCTTCCTCCAGATTCAAAGGGGTAAGTCTGCTGAAAAGTGGTAACTGGGGTGCCAGGATCTCCTATATGTACAAGCCATACTGGCTTGGAGCATATCAGATGGAGGAAGAGGCAGCTATTGCTTATGATAGAGCAGCCGTCAAGCTTCAAAGAGGTGATACCCCACTCAACTTTCATTGGAGTAAATACAGTGCTGAAGAGAGCATATTCCAAAGTCAGTACTCAACTGAGGAAATTCTGAGTATGTTGAAGGATAAAACTTACTCGTCCAAACTTATGAATTTTCTTTCAAGGCATTCATCAGGTTTGGGAACTCGAACAACAACCTTCATGAATGAACAAGGGATTTCATATCACTTTCTCTTTCAGAAGGAACTGACTCATAGAGATGTCACTCACAAGTGCTTTCTGATCCCAAGGGAATTTTCATTTCGATACCTTTCCCCACCTGAAGGCATCATCAATGCAGTTGAAGATGAAGCTAGGTGCGTTAAATTAACCTTTTATGATAAACATGGCCGTTCTTGGACATTTGGATATTCATATTGGCAGAGTACACGGAACTTTATGTTTACAAATGGCTGGGGACACTTTATCAGGATGAATAACCTGAACCAGAAAGACATAGTAATGTTTTACAGATGCGAGTATGAAGGGGAGGTTCTTGGGAGAGAAGTTTACATGATAGACTATCAAAGAAGCAATGGGCAAAACTATGTCCTAGAGCATTCTTCAGGAAGCAGTACCATAGAGTTAGAGGCTGATTGCAAGCAAAAAGAGACTAAGAAAGGATTCAAGCTATTTGGTGTGGAGATTAATGGTTAATCACTGGCCAGAATCCCATTTTGAGGTTTTTTTTCTCCTTGTTCTTTTTTTGGGAGAAAATAGGATGTATTTTATTGCATCTTGTCTGTTTGTCAAGTCAACTTCATGGTTTGAGCAGTTTTTCATTTTAGTTGTAGGTCATGGGAAACATTGAGTAGGGAAAATTTATTTCAGCTGTGTCATACGTTGCCCTAAAACTTTTAATCTATGTCATTTCAGTTCTGCCCATCAGCAGCATAATCGACCATCTCTGCTTTTATATGGAGATCTGTACAGTTTTTATAGGTTATGAGAATTGCTCAATATAATCTAAATAGCTTTTACGTCAGGTATAAGTCTATAATTTTTCAATTAGACAGGTTCGACAAATTTTAAAAGTTGATCCTGTATTTTTTTCCGAAACAATTTGCTCACAGAAAAAGGCAGTTTTCTTACATGGTGGTCACAGTTAACTAATAGTTAATTCTTCTGATTCAATATTAGCATGAAAATTGGTATGCAGACACAAAGTTCTTCTGATATTTTTAGATTTTAGAAAAACATTATGTGATGAATGAAGTGTGGTGGAAAACGATCCACTTAGAGGCATAGTTCACAGTTACACAAAAGATGAGAACAAGGTTTTCTCCTTATGGCAGCAGAAATTTTCCCGTTTACTCGTCAATCCGATAGGGGGCTTCAATCTTAGTCCATATAAAAATGGGTCTTCAACGCATTCAGATGGGTTGGAGTATAAGTGCTCGTTAGTAGTTTGAGGACACTTTTTTATAATTCTGTTTTGGAGAAACCAGGATGTATTTTCTGCGTCTTCTATTCGTTCTTTGAGCATGCTTTTTTATTTTTATGATACTCACTATCCTCGATCAACTTTGAGGACTCTTTTTTGGAGAAATTAGGATGTAATTTTTGCGTCTTCTCTCCATTTCAAGGACAGTTTTTCATAAATACAAGGGCACAGTTTCAGCATCCTCTGTTTATTTTGAGCATGCTTTTTCATTGTACAAGGATGCAGTTTCAAAATCCCTTACCAACTTTAAGGATGTGCTTTCTGCATCCTTACACCATCAAAGAGGGTGCATTTCTGTCGCGTCCTTGAATTAAAACAAGGGCATAGTTTCTATGTTGTGTCCTTGTAGGTGTTTTTTGTGGTAGTGCTAGCAAATTACCAGCAGCACTCTGCAATAAATAGTCCTACTTTAACTGGAGGAACCAATTCTCTTAATCTAGTAAATGGACACCTTGAGAATAAAAGGCAATGACAAATCAGTATTAGAACCTTCAGTGAATCCAATAAACCGTTCGTTGCTGAGAAAGAAATTTGTGTATGCTGAGAACTGTCCTGTCATTTATAAGGAAAGACAACTCAAACAGTTCATCAGTTGCCATTAACGATATATAGAGCCTTATTATCATTTAAAATGTGGAAGCATGTCTTAGTTCACTGTCTTGTGCCAAAGACTACTTTTGGCCTTCTATTACCTTGTTTGGAACCTTCAACTTTAGTTGATTGGCGAATTCCTTGTGCATGTCAAAACCTTCATGTACACCTCTGTTTTGTCATCTTCCGTCCAACTTCATTATTCATGTTCGTTTCATTAATGTTTCTGTTTTAACTATAAATAGATTAATTTTCCTTCATGTTAAAAACTTTAAAAAAAAATTTCTAGTTAACCTTATAGATGTTCTTCAATTTTGTTTGGAGGAAATGCTGTCTTAATATATAGAGTGGAAAGTAGAAAGAATTGTTGGAAATTGTAGGCTACCTTCATTATGCAGAATTATTGTTTTCCATCCATCTGCATAACTTATCTACTTTTTATTTTATATTTTATCTGAGTTTCAGAGTGGAAACTCATATATGTCTCAGGAAAAACCTGATAATTGAATACAATAAATGATTTAAACTTGTCTGTGATTTTATTTGGAGGAAATACATTTTTAATATGAAGTGGAAAGTAGAAAGAATTGTGGGAACTGTGGGAACTGTGGGAACTGTGGGCTACTTTTATTATGCATAATTATTATTAGTCACACATCTGCATATAACTTATCTCCTGGTTATTTTTCAGAGTTTCAAATGGAAACTCATGTCCCAGAAGAAAAGAAAAAAGAGAGGTGATAATTGAACATAATGAATGAAATAAACTTGTTGGTAACTTACAGGCTAGAATGTTCTAGTTAACTATTGCTTGGACTTACCATAACTATTTCATGTAAATTAATGTAGGCAATTTTCATTTGCTTAGTTATATTAGATCATTTGTTGTTTGTTTATCTACTCTTCTATGTACTCCCTTGATCTTACACCCACAATGGAAGGGTTTATGGACGAGGATATATTGTTAGTGCTAAGTTCTAATGATGAAATTAATAGCTGTCACTTAGAAGGTTGCTCAAATGATGAAATTAATTCATGCAAAAGAAATAAGCGACAGAGAGCGTGTGTTTGTAGATGTACCATCACAGAGATGTGGAGAGATACTTACCATTACTGAAAGTTTGTGGATGGCGAGCTGCATTCAGGACTCAGGAGGCAGCTAGGGTCTGCTGCCTTGTTCTCGTTGCAGCGTTCCAGCTACCTGTCTAACTAATCACTGTCCATGAGCCAGCCTTCCCATTCTTTCAGCTAAAGAAATATGTCATGGCACACTTACCACCCGGGAGATGCACTAGCTTGGAGGAAGTCACAGTGACAAAAATATCTCAAGGCATTTATCTTAATGTCCAAGGTAAAGTATAGGATGTGGAATTTTAAGTATGAATAATGGGAGAGTAGTCAGAGCCTTGTGATTACAACCTTTTAGCAAATTTTTCAAGAAGCAAATGTTAATGAAGGAGAAAGATGTGGTTGTTCTCTTTAAAAGCTCTGATGAGAAGAAAAGGATTTTCTTCATCAGTCATAGGGACTGAAAAAAAATCAGTATTTTTTATGAATGTGGTTTTGGTCAGAGAGCCCAGATGCAAAGCAGGGAGGAAAGACGAGAAGGAAGACAAAGATATTTTGGCGTGGAGATGAGTTCATCAAACACCAAAGCCACAGCCTCGTGTGATCAGCTGGTTATTATGTTTGTGCAGTCTATCAATTGAACTTTTCTCCCTTCTCATTTAGTTGTGAGTCATATTTTCAGCTGCAGATGAGCCAGTTCGACCAAAAATATGTAAGAACCGTCGTTGTCGTTGTTTGCGTGATCTTTAGAGCCAATTACACTGAATTAATTTCCTGTAAGAAACCCAAAAAAAAAAATGATTTGGAAGTAAACTAAGAGATAAGTAAATGCTTTTATTGACACAAATTGGAAACTGAAAATGCTTCTTTCACATTAAAACTTGCCTCGACTATGCTTGTGAAGAAGCACTTACCAAATGTGCTTGTGTAACTGGAATATGACTCTCAAAATCACTTCTAAACTGCCATCTCAAGTCTCAACTCAATGTTATAAAAAGTGGTTTCGATCATTTGAGAACGTTTTCGGCAATCCTAAGTGCAGTGCCAAACACACCCTAAGCATGATTTTTTTCACGGAAGAAAAAAAAATAAAGAAACTGTGTGGTGGAACTATATATCACTATCACTATGGGCCTAGAAATGACCTGGGCAAGGCCTGAGTCTATTGAAAATTACCCATCGCCCAAAACCTATATATATATATATATATATATATAAGCAAAACAAGCAACAAGCTGAAAGGCCATCCTGAGCTCCAAGTTTGCTTAGCGTAAAACCTCAGGAAAGGAAAAGGGACGAGAATTCGAATCGGAGAAAGAGAGAGAGAGAGAGAAAAAAAAAAGCGATGGCTGCTTCGGATGAAACTCCATCGGCTAAGAGATGGCTTCCTCTTGAAGCTAACCCTGATGTTATGAACCAGGTAATGCAATTAATCTCCTTCATTTTCTCATCAAAGAAAACCATAATTATTTGGTGTTCTTCGGATTATGCACTGTTTGTTTCTGGATGAAACTTCGGAAAATAAAATCATAAAAAATGTATATAAATTTTCTTAGAAACCAGACGGAGAGCTAGGGCTTGTGCGTATTTGATGTGGAAAATGGAATGCTTCGATTAGTCTGGACATGGGTTTTAAAAAGTCATTTAAAAGCTTTTTTTTTTTTTTTTTTTTTTTTCATGTGTGTGATAAAAATAGTATGGGTTTTTGGAATTAGTAAAGGACTTGTTGGGTCTGAGACTCTGAAATGAAATTATTCTATAGTAGTTTCAACTGACCCTAAACCACTCTATCAGAGAATCTGTTTAGTTTCTGTAGTGGAAAATGTTTTGGCAAAGAGGTATGATCATTTTCCTTTTTATTTGTAATGAAATTTTTGCTTTGAGGAAGACCTAATTAGTGAATATTACCTTAACTTGCACATGGAAAAAAGTTGAAAAAGAAATCAATTTTGGAGATTAATGAATAATGATAATGATTTGTACTCAACATAAGGGAAAACGTATTTGCTATATTAGGAGGGATGGAATTAGTTTGGGAAGTTAAGTAATATCGCCGTATTGTAAAATGATCAAGTTCTTGAGAAAGCATGCTATTGCTCATTAAAAAAGAACCCCCCAAAAATAATGAACGAATTAAAAACCGTACTTTTCTTCCTCATTTTAATTACATGCACTGTTGTTTGTTCTAAATGCTTTATTGTAACTTAGTTTGTTGATTTTTCGTAAAGGTGATATCTTTATTAAAAAAATCCATCGTATGTCCTTAAGAAAGGTTACCTCACTCTGTAATTTTTAATATACATAACTACTAAATTAGATGTCAGACAGGGTATTTTTTTCAATGCAGTTCCTTTGGGGTCTGGGTCTTCCAGAGCATGAGGCAGAATGCTGTGACGTTTATGGGTTGGATGGAGAACTCTTAGAAATGGTTCCAAAGCCTGTACTTGCTGTGCTGTTTCTTTATCCTATAACCTCTCAGGTTCTGTTTCGTTCCTTGAACTAAAAAGTTATTATTCGTTATTTTTGTTTGGTGATTATTGTTGATCATAAGTTC